CGAACGGGAAAAGGTTCTTGATTAGCTTTAGGGGGCAAGGGGCGGGTGTGGCGAGTTTTGGGGATAGGAGAGGGGGGTTTGTATCGTACAGGAAGACTTGTTTTTGGCCCAGTCTGAAGCCTGGTAATTGTCGGGCTGCTGCTTTTGCGACTTCGGCCATTGTGCGTTGGCGTGGTGAGGTTCGTCGCGATACGCTCTGCGGATGGCGTCCCAAAATATTTCTTGGAGAGAGTGGTGATTGGCTTGGCGGCGGAAGGTTCGATTATGTAAGCAGTCTCATGGACCAACCTGCTTCAGTTGCTTGTCATGACATCTAATGGTAGTGTCGCATGAGGCAATAATTGTAAAGGAATTATATTTTTTCATACTACTCAAATCTTTGTTAGGTATCCAGGTGCCGCCAATGAGGCACTTATATGCTCGTCATGCAAAAACTGTGCCGAGCGGTCCTGGCTGATATCAGGTGCGGCCAAACAGGGTGAGGCGACCAGGCCAAAACGGGTGGGCGTGGAAAAGCGAGAGATGTGACGCCCAGAATAAATGGCTGCACGCGCGGTGTCGATTTTTGCTTGATGACATTATTATGCACTGGCGTCAACTGCCCACCTGCAGGTGTTGTACGTTCTTTCCAGCACAACGCAAGCGCCTGGCTTCTCGTGCTCTGGACGGAGCAGCAATTAGTCTTGGCCCCACTCATGTGCGCTGTGCTTGTCAAGCATTCAGACGCAAGCCAAATAATTTCAATGTCACTTCGCTGTCACAAGGCATAGAAATCCTATTTCGCAGACCACTTTGTGAACATCTTCTACTCATCGCCAAATGGGAGGGAAGTATTAAAAACGTCATTTCCTTTGAAAAACATACAGTTGGCTCCTTTGTCGCGACGCCATCCTCGAGTAACCATCATGAATGAGAGGACAAGCACGTTCCCCAATCAACACGTTTCTTTGTCACACCAGGGCAGCATCTTCCATTCCCGGTGCCCTTTACTTGGATGAGTTTTCGGTCGTCAACATTATACCCTTCTAAAAGCCATCAAATTATTACTTTGATTAGCCAACATGGAAACTCCGCCCTCACCCTCGCTCTCCAACACACCCCGACCACGCCTCGCCAGAACCTCATTGGTATCCCCGCAAAATACTATCACTGAACCGCAGATGCCTGTCAGTATCAAGCAGGAGGAGGAGGAGGATAGACACCCTGTTACAGAAACAATAGACCTATTCGATCAAGGGTATGAAAGTTCGGTCGATGCTCCAGTTACTGCAGCCGCCGATTTACGACTGGAGCTGGAGCAAGAAAAGAGAAGTTATCCTGGAGCAAGCACATGGGCCGATGAGGAAGAGAAACTGTTCGAGATTTTGTTTCAGAGGGCGGACATACCATTACTTCCGGCGCATTGGCATGTGGATTTTAGGGGTATACCCGTCGTGGATAGCATCTTTTCCGCGGGTGATGGGGTGCCTTCCATCATATACAGCCGGTCAATGAAGAAAGAGTTTCAAGGTAAACTGAAATGACTCATAAAAAACAATCAAAAGACAATTGCCATCGACGTGATTCAGGCTAACATGACGTGCAGCAACCATGGCCCTCATTCGTCTCATAGACCTGACATCTTCCGTCCGAACCACCGTCCAATCGGGTCTGCGGAAGAAAGCTACACAACTTATTAAAAGGTGTATTGACAAATATATCGCATGGGCTGCCGAGGACGGAGGCTACTCTCATCTTAAAATCGTACCAAACATCACTACTGCCGTCATGGATGCCGAGTTGGGAGAGAAAGACATCACGAGTACCATGAAGAATCGCATGCGTGCGCTAGCCATGGCCCAGAGAGAATTCCTGAGAGTCGATCGAGATGATTCATTTTGGGATGTATCCGAAGTTGAGGGGGGAGAAAAGGGCGCCGACTTTTCCACCTTGATAGTGGAAAAGTACTTGAAGAGAGTTGAGGAGCTCAGCGAATCGGCCAAGGCACCGTCAAGAAACGGCTCTCGTCAGGGCACACCAAGACCGGGGAGCCCATCACGCGACGATACAACACCAACAAGAAGGCGATCCCCTCCATCACCAATATCTAACGGGTTGACCCCTGATGAACAACAGAGTACTCGCGGCCAAATCAAATACAGATACAAACCTCCCGTTGTATATGGACTCTTCATCCTCCGCACATCCGTCTTCCTTCTTACCGTCGACAGTGCAAAGGGTGATTCTGCGTACGTCAGTTTCCATGTAGACATGCATTTCATGGACCGCCACCAGAGCGTGTGGAATGCGCTTACGGCAGCAATAGCGGTATGCCTGGCAAGAGATCAGCTTTCTGAGCGGACAGACGAATTTGAAGAGTTGTCTGCTTCTGCGGAAGAGAGTGAAAGCGAGGCGTGAATCTTGCATAGAAAGATGTACATTCAGACGTAATTTACTTTGCGGGCATTGGGCTAGTTACTTCATAGATACCCCTCAAAGTCGGCATCGAGTGCCTTCGCATAGAGCGTTGCAGCAATACCAGTCATGAACCTTTTGCAGCCAAAACCAAGTACAGTAGTAATGTTCATTTGGAGAGTCGGCATCCATGGATACCTCTATGTACCGTAAAATGCCCTGCCCAGGCCCATCTATCAGCCTCCAACGCCAAACAATGATGTGGCATCTATATTTCTTTGCTTCCCCCCCAACACGCTCTTATGCCTCCCTTATTTCCGTCTCATACAAGTAGCAACCCGCTCGTTTTTATGTACATGGCTCCTTTAGCTTCAATAAAAAATGTTCAAAATGCCGTTGGGCTCTTTTGCCCCTTTACCATGCGGTGTCTATATTACAAAAAGAACACGCAAAAAAAAACGCCCTCCAGTTTACAAGTCGTCCTTCTCAGCAGGCATCATCACCTCCAGCTGGTGCAGCAACCGCTGGTACAGGAAGAGCATACACCCGCTCTGGATAAAGGTCCATACGCCACGAGGGCCGACGCCGCGGAACCACCCGGCCAGGCCTTCGGTGCGGTAAATGACCTTCAGACCGGTGATGACGGAGGACGTTTCGAGGGCGATGGCACCAGGTTGCGGGCGGTGCGTGCTGGGTGACGATGTTGAGATGTGTCGCTTCTGGGAGGAGGCCACCTCCTTCAGCTTGGTGACCTGGTCCGGGGAGGGGTTGACTTGTGTTTGGAGCCGCGTCTTGACCACGTCGAGAGGGCAGGTGATGACGCCCGCGAGACCACCTGCCGCCGCGCCGGTGAGAAGCTCCAGCGGCACGCCGATTTCGCGGCTCTGCTTGTACACGCGGGCCCAGGCGTGGAATTGCTCCCAGAACATGAACTGGAGCGCGGAGAAGGGCAGGTCTCGGTACAGCGTGGCCTTGTACCCGTAGAAGAGGGCCGAAGCGCCTTCTGTTCGGACAATGGTGCGCGCGGCGTCGAGCGTGCCCCGGTAGTTGTATCCGGATCGGAAATGGGGGTTGTTGTAGCGTCCCTGGAGCTGTAGTCGGGTCTTGAGGACCTCGGAGGGGACGTAGACGACGGAGGCGGCAAGGTCGCCGAGGAATCCTGCGAGCCGTGTCAGCAAAACTTTCCGCCGTGCCGCTCAAATTGCAACAAGTTCCCAGACATGGGATGAGAGCTCACCTGCTGAGAGATATGCCAAGTGGTGCTGTAGGCCGTGGTCTATCAGGAATCGCTTGCTCCATTCATATGTGCCGAAAAACATGACGGTGCCGGGAAACGAGCCGCCCAGCGCAGGGATCCATCCCCCGTACAGACCTCGTCTTACACCTTCCTGTCTCCATATTGTGTAGTATGATCGTCCCAATGATGTGTATTTTGACGGGATGTTCGGATCGCCCTGCTGCCGTGTCTTGACTGTATCCAGCGAATGCATGAGCAGGTCGCCAGTTGAGCCGCCAATACCACCAGCAATCATGGCCTAGAAACCCCAAAAAAAGCAGTTAGTACCTCGTCCCTACCAACCATGAATACCAGACCAAATCACAGACACGAGAAGGAAAGAAACGCACATGGAGATAGGGCGGCCGGCCCTCCGTCTCGATATCTTCGCTCTTCATGGTATGCCCGCTATCAGACGCTATGACGCTGCTTCTGCCCGGGGAGTGCTTCGTGTGAATACCGGCATTGCGAGGCGGCTCTGCCAACCCGACGACGTGCTCGTCGCTACTGCTGTCGCCGGCCGAAGCAGACGAGCCGGCGAAGAAGAAGTTGGAAAGTTGTGAGGCGAGGGGCATGGCCCAGACGCCCGCCGCCGTAAATCGCAGAGAAACAAAAAAAAAGACAGGAGACGGTAGGAAAAACCGCTTGGGTCGGGGTTTCGCGGGATCAACGACGCAGAGATATAAATTGAAACGCTGGGGGAAAAAAAAATTGAAAACGGGCAAGTCAAGACCACAGCGCCAAGTGAGCGATTATCGCTGTGCTCGTCTATGTTGCTGAATGCTGTGATGGGGGCTGTTGCGTCAACGACGTTGGATGCTCGTTGCGCGTGTGCCTCGAGTCAATGGCGGCGGCCCTGCACCCAACTGTGAGCGCATACAATTTTTTTGCTCCGGTGCCGACTTTATCCCCGAACCACTTTTTTTTTCTTCCAGTCCCTTTTGCTGGGATTTGCTCTGTGCCTGGGCGTCCGCTTCTCCCCCGGTGGGCTAGTGCTCGCTGTGCAGTCCACCGGTGCTCCGTACAGTACAAGCGCAGGGCTTATGGGATCACCGATGGTCCGTGCGCTGCTTCCTGAAGGCTCAAGTTCAGCCAGCTTGCAACTCACTCTTCGATGTTATCTTTGAACGAGCAACTCAGCAGCTACCTACCTAACGGTACTCGGAAGAAAAAAGGATAACGTAACGCTACATCTACCATTTCAACCATTGCATTGGGCATTTTATCTAGTCCTATAACCATCCAACTCTATGCATGACCACCGGTACATCCTACAAGCCATAATATACACACAGGTCCACCGTCATTGACATCACATCATACAAAGCCATCATTCCACCAGCTTGCTCTCATGCTCCCACCACCTCACCTGCCCAAACTTCCTCCACGGATACACAATGTGCGTAACCCTCCCCGTCAATAAGCGCTTCGACACAGGTCCATACGTATTGCTGTCCAGGCTCGATCCCGCCGGCCCATCTCCTTCCACCCAAACATGGCCCTGGGGTATCCTGACCGTCGGTATGGGATAGGGCTTCTTGGTCCTGACCACATCTCCTTCAAGCGCAACCACCCTCTTGACGGCAACCACCTCCGGATTATACGGACTCCTAGACGTTGCTGTCAGACATTGATGCTGCAACAAAAGTCACGACCCTGGCCCAAAACCACCCGAGTCTAGAGGGCTCCCCCCCGTCTGAAGAGGCTCAGGCACACAAACCTCAATGTGACAACCATGCCTCTCTCCAACCCTTCCTGCGGCGACCACTTGTAATTCAGAAAAAAATCTCGCCGTAGAGTCGAGTCCTTGTCCTCGTTCAGGAACGGGTACATGGATGAGCCATCCACAAACGTCAGCTCTGCGACGTGCATGTTGAACCAGGCAATGACGGGGATCCACGTCGCGAAGCCCATCAGATTCAGAGTGACGGCTCGGGCTAGCCCGGATGGTGGTATTCGTACGCGCGACCATATCGAGCCCGGCGCCATCGGTGCATCGACTCCTCCAGAGAGGTACACGAGGGCGCGGGGAAGCGTGGTATATGAGTCGACGTTGTGAAGTGCGAGGTTGAGGTTGGGTAAAGCATTCCAGCTGCCTTTACAAATGGCAAACTCGAGTGCCAGGCTGGTGCTGTTGGTGGCGCTGGCAGTTGGCGGTGGACCCCCGAGCTCCATCCAGGATCCAGTCAATCCGACCGCAACACATTTGCAGCGCCAGATTGCGACGTACGACTATTCCGACGTCTTTGCTCTAGTTTCTACCCCAACGCAGAGCACAGCTCCCAGCCATGTATGTCAAGTCTTCAATTCATGCATGTTTCTTTTTCATGCTATTGCTTCAGTCTCCAACGCCGTTTTGAGGGCGTCACCGGCTATTTCAAAAAAAATAGCTTACATGAAATGCCAATATTGACCAGCCTTTTTCACCAACCCATGCCATTCTCATCATCATGCGGTCCCTACCTCCAAGTTTTTACAGTATAGCCTACGGTGAGCCGCTTACATCTCGTATTGCATCGACCCAGTGCGACCTCGTAACGGCCTCGGGATATCGCCGATGGGCACCAGCCTCCTTGTCAATCCGGACCCGAGTCTACTAATAGATACTAGTGGCCTTCTTCTTCCCTTCTTGCTTGCTATGGGGCTGCCTAGATCGTCTCGGGGATATTGTCGTCGCTCTCGCTCATGCTCTCGTCACCGCTGACTTCGGCGTTTTCACGTTCTCTCTTCTCCATGAGGGCCTGCAGCTCGGCATCATCGCTCTCGGTAACAGCCTTGGGGTCCATTTTAACAGTTAGGTTGCCGCCGGCAGCCTCGATGCTTTTTCTGATGCTCTCAATGGCCTCCTGCAGGAGAGCAATGCCCTGCTGCTTGTCGAAGGAAGTGCTGGTGAGCACATACAAAGGGGGCGAGACAAGCTTGACCTTGACTTGAGTGTCGGTGTTGGCATCCTCAGAGTCGTTCTTGGCCTCGGCAGTTCTCAGTGCAGTCTTGACAGCGTCGATGCCCTCATAGCCAAAGCAGGTGACTTCAATATCAGCTCGAACCTTGGTTCGCTGAGGAGTAAGTCGCTTGCTAATGTACAGCTTCAGCTCGTCCTCGACGGGCTTGCTGGGGAAAGTCATATCGTTCCAGACTTCGGGGTTGCTATCGACGAGATTAGTACCTGGCCCCCAGACAAATGACGTCCTAGCGAAACGTACGTAATAGACAGCTTAAAGGCATCGATGGCGTGGCCATATTTCCGGTTCAAGGGCCAGGCAATGGACTCGTACAACGTCTCAATAGGAGTCTGGGTCTTCTCGGCGACGTGTCTCATGATCAGATGGACGGTCTTGCTCTTGTTATATCGCTCCTCGCACTTGACCATATCCTCGGGAGACACTCGTCGCTTGGAAAGATCAATATAGCCTGCCGCCAACGTTAGCTTCTCTCAATGTTTCTCTCTAGCCCTGTTACTTGGGCAGCAACTGGCCAAAGCAGAACATTCACGTACCCTTCTCCTTGTCCACTCGCAGCACAACGACAACCTCGTTACGCCCGACTCTAATAAGCTTCTGGATACTTCGAATACGTCGTCGCGACAATTCAGAGAGGAGAATCATGCCATCTATGTTGTCGTACTCGAGAAGCTTGACGTAAGCACCCATTTCGGCGATCTACCCACGTATTCTTGTCAGATTCATGGACCCCCGTGCGATCGCCTGCGTCCAGCCCCTTCCAAACGCACCTGCTTGACATTGACCATGACGAAGCTATCAATCTCCGGGAACTTCTCCTCGTAAAAGCGGCAGTTCGTTAACGACATATTGGCGGTGTTATTCTGAATCTCGACAAGATCAAGGGATTAATCGTTCGGTTTTCTTAGGTACGAGAAGAGGGGAGGTGGGGTTCGCCGGTCCCAGAGATATATCGGCACGTTTGCACGCTTAAAACTGCACCCAGACCCGTCGTTTGTGAAGTGTAGCTATTTCGAGAGAAGTGTGAAAATTTTCGAAATGTCGGAAATTCAGTGGCGCGACTCGTTTCGAGGTTTATCAGGTAGACCGTGGCCGTTCGAAAACTTCGTGAGTGAAGGGTTTGGTGGTTAAAAGAGAGTCATAATTTTGACATTTTCGATTTGCGGCGAACTGGATGGTGGGGTGTGGCGGGGTGTGGCTAGTTTCCGAAGCGGTATGCAGCGGCAGAACTGGCCCAGCTGCTGTTCATTGCTCTGTGAGTGCCACGGAGAGGGAGTGAGTGACCTGTAACCTGGCTAGAGAACTGCTGTCGCCCACGTGACTGGAAGTAAACAACCAAAAGCTGCGACTCATCAAGCTGCACACTGCTAGAGACGCACTGGCGAGTGTCGACAATGGCTCCAGGTAGGTTAATTTTCCGGCCCATTGGGAAAAGCCCACAGCCAGATCCGATTACATGGCTAATCGCGCAAACAGCTACGCAATTTGAACTCTCGCCGCCGCCGGGCGACGCCGTTTCCGCGGTCGCATTTGCGCCGTCCGACTCCAGCAAACTCCTCGTGTCGTCGTGGGACAAGAAAGTATACAGCTACAATGTCGCCAGCGGCGGGTCGGAGGGCAGTCTGACCAACACGTATGAGCACCGAGCTCCCGTTCTAGATGTCTGCTTTGGAGCGAATGATAATGAAGCCTTCACGGCAGGCATGGACTGGACTGTTAGCAGGTGTGTTTCTTGAAGCTGCTCGCAAGTGTACTACACGTAACTAATTTTTGTGCTCTAGATTGGACTTGGAAACTGGAGAGATAACACCCCTGAGTAAACATGCTGCGCCCGTTCGCCGCGTCGTGTTCAGCAAGGATCACAGTAAGCCCCGTCTCCCCTATCAAACCGTGCCTCTGCTAAACAATATCCAAGATATCCTTGTCTCTGCCTCATGGGATAGTACTCTCACTTTACACAATCTCTCCTCCACCAGCGCTCCAATCCGCATTCCGCTCCCCGCCAAGCCACACGCCATATCCTCCAGTCCAACCAAGATCGTCGTCGCCATGACGGGCCGCATCATTCACATCTACGACCTCAACGCCATCACGAAGCTCTTCGCCTCGGGCGGCACTGAGCTGAAACCTTGGCAAACACGAGAATCATCACTTCGATACCTGACACGTGCTGTCGCATGTATGCCCAATGACGCAGGGTATGCGACGTCCAGCATCGAGGGCCGTGTGGCCGTGGAGTGGTTTGAGGATACAGCAGAGTCGCAAGCTCGAAAGTATGCGTTCAAGTGTCATAGACAACCAGCACCGGACGGTGATGGTGATGTTGTCTACCCTGTCAATGCGCTGGCATTCCACCCTGTTCATGGGACATTTGCTTCAGGAGGCGGAGATGGAACTGTTGCGCTGTGGGATGCCGAGGCCAAGAGGCGATTAAAGCAGTATCAAAAGTTTTCGAATGGCGTTGCGGCGCTAGCATTTTCTAATGATGGTAAATACCTAGCTGTTGGAGTGTGTCCTGGGTTCGAGACTGGCCAGGAGGACTACACAGGCGCTGGTGCTACGTCTGTTTTAATCAGGGAACTTGGTGAGAATGAAGCAAAGGGCAAAGGTGCAAAGTAAAGGATTTACAGAAATGTACGAATTTGGAGCAATGTGGCAGAAAAACCAACCTGAACTAGATGGCGTTCAGCTAGGGGACATAGTATTGTGTGGTGACTGGTGTTTCTTCAGAGTCCTCATGGCCAGGTTTTAAAATCGGTATGTAGATACCCCTGCAATGAAATAAAGTTATGACCATTGTAATCGGCAACATTGACACAAAGCTAGCACACGGTGGGTATAGTATCATCACTGGTGTTAAATAAGTGTAGGTATTCTCGTTGTGGTGGCCTGTCCTAAGCCGGCCCCCCGAATCATACGGTAGACATAAAATCATGGCTGTGGGTAATACTGCCGGTACGGCGTGGCTGTATCTTCAAATTCATCATGATGTTGACGGTATGGTAACCAGCGCCAACTATACGTTTTAACCGAAGTGTTCTACTCCCCTGTCTTCTTCGGTATAATAGGCTATGCGATTGTCAGAAAACCGAGAACGTGGAGAACATGGGAGCAAAACACACCCTGGCTTCTTCAACATGTTCAAAATTTCCGGCAGTGGACAAAAGCCAGACGTCCTGTAAAGGATTGGGTACCTGTCGGCCCCATAGAAAGTTATGAGGGAAGCCAAGATCAAAGGGCACGGCAGCCTCGATTAATCGAATTTCTTCGTCAGTGAGCTCGATTGTAAGTGCCTCAATGTTGCCTTTGAGGTGCTCAACCTTCCTTCCTCCTATGACAGGGAACACATAGGGCGTCTTGTGCATTACATACGCCAAGGCAATACTAGTGATGGCTGTGTTTTTGCGGATGGCGATCTCCTCAAGTACGCGACTTGTTTTGATATCGGCGTCGCTAACCTCTGTCCTGCGGCCTTCACTGGATCTTCGGGCCTGCTCAGTCTTGAAGTTTCCGCCGCCAAGTGAGCCCCAAGGAGTGATGGCCATGCCTTCAGCCTTGCACATCGGAATGACATCGCGCTCCAAGTCTCGGCAAGACGCGGACCATCGACCTTGGTAGACCGAGAACTGGCGAAGCCCGTGGTTTCGAGCATATTCATTGGCCTTGCTATAAGGAGGGTTAGCCATATTTGATCGGCAGAAATGAGGAGCAGATGTTTTGCACACCTCACAATCCAAGCCGGGGCATCGCTGATTCCCAAATACAGGATTTTGCCTGTAGCGACAAGTTGATTCAAGGACTGCATAACTTCTGGTATTGACGCGCTGTAGTCCCACCAATGGATGTACAAAAGGTCGATGTAGTCAGTTTGCAGCTTCCTAAGGCTAGCATTGACTGATACATGTAAACTCTTGGTACCATTTCCAACACAGTTGGCCATGATATGAGGATGATTAGGGCCAGCTTTGAAGTTGGTGGTGTACTTGGTTGAAATGACTACATGCGAGAATAAATGATGAGCGATCAACGCCATAACCTGTTGGTAGATGGGGGTCGATAGACAATTCGTAGCATTCAACGTACCCATCTGGTCACGATTGCCGCGCTTCTTCATCCACTCGCCAATCCATGTTTCCGACTGCTCGAATTGGTAGCTGTTTGCGGTGTCAATGAAATTTCCTAGATCAAAGAGGGCTATTAGCGATCCGCCCTGAAGGTCTGGCCCCGGAGTTCGATCTGGCGCAGTCTCGTTTATACGCCTTACCTCCCTGCCGTGGCGGCATTAGCAAAGTTCACACTGACGCATCTGACGCCACTTCTAAATAGGCTGCATGAGGAGTAACTCACTTGCTCGAAAAAGAAGTCGAGGATTTTTTCGGTGCTCTCCTGGTTGCATTCCCCCATCCAATCAGCCCTATGAGTGTCGATCCGTCAGTTTGATGTTCCTTGTCCAACAATGGCTGCATCTCGTTTCGTACCAAGCATCACCAAAATTCATAGAACCAAGGCATAGCGGGCTGACGCGAACAGAGGCAGTGGGAGAGAGAAGGCGGTAACGGGACAAAGGTGACTTTGGTGCCCCATTCTGAGGCAATGCAACATTCATGGTGGTCTGGGAGCTGAAGATCAAGGCAAAATAGTGAAGGCTCTACTGGGACAGGGCAAAGTCATAAAGGGAGGGTAGTCGTCGGAGATGGAGGGTCTAAGAATGCAGAATAAAGTCGTTTCAGACACAAAGTATATCGTTGACCTGTGTAGCCTGGGGACGGCCTTCAATTTTATGTTTGACCAGCTCCAACGCAGTCACTACGAGCCTTGCTTCCTGCTAGGGTAGAACGAGCTAATGAAGCCGCCCCTTCGCCAATACTTGCCGAGTTTACATTGTAGAAAGTGACGGTACTTAGTTTTAGACCGGATCGGACAGTGGGCACGCGGTAAGCGCTGCAGTCACCTTGGATAGTTGAAGAGGAACCGCAGTCGAGCCAAGGCGGGGATCGACGTCGGGAAAGATGTGATCCAGGCATCTTGAGTGGCTCCAGAAAGAACCGAGAAGACGGATGCGAATACTCCCGAGATGCCACCCCATGAGCGTTGATACTGCAGGTGCCACCGACTCAACTATTTCAAGCACGGGAACCGAGTATGTATGTACGTGCATGCACGGGCGTGTGTTCGCAAGATGGCAAATGCAACTGATCAAAGGTTAGAAGAAGGCCCCAGTCTGGCTGTTTCTACTTAAACACGCACATACAGTTCCGTAACGCCATGGAGTGACGCGTCTGAAGCAGGGCGACGGGAAACCGAAGCCACTGGCGGTCCCGTGTTCGAGACGCCTGTATGGAGCCGTGCCTGTTTCAGCGCTGCCCACAACATTTGAGACAGGTGAACTAAAGTTGTGAAGTTATTCGAGTCGACCTCTCTGAAGGTTTAGGGCGTCTGCCAACACTGAAGTGTAATGGTACCTGACGGTGAGACGTTTTCAATCAATGACACGTCGTTCGCAATCGACGTCGGCAAATCAACAATCCTGATACCCAAGTATTGCGGAGGGCCACAAGGTGCTGTAGGGCAAGCATCGCACATGCGCAGCCCAGTCCATGGAAAGGATCTAGAAAACAGCGTCTGGTTGCGAAATGTTCAGTCAAGTGTTGCGAGTTTCCCACATGCATGCTTCCAATGAGCATCAATGTGCAGGCACTCCCGCCAGCTCCTTCCCTCAGTGCCATCCAAATTAGGGCAACTAAACACGCATACCCCCTTAGTCCTAATCTGGCGAGATGCCTTCATTTCTTGCCATAAAAATACCAAGGAAACTTCATACAGCCACACAAGACTACAAGGCCGCTTGCTGGTGCCACACACAACACCAACGCCCACAATTTCACGATAACAGGCTGCTAGTCAGCTTCAATTTATTCAATGCTAAGCCGGCGGCACAGCGGCGTTGATAGCTTCAAATAATACACATCGAGTCACCGCCTTGTTGGTGCCCGCCTTAACGCGCGCGCGCGCGTGTGTGTGTGATTTACGGTCAAAATTGCGATTTTTGAGTCTTTGAAAGACGTGTATTATTCGAAGCTATCAACGCCGCTGTGCCGCCGACTTGTATTGAATAAATTGAAGTTAACTAGCAGCCTCGTTGTTAGGGTTATTCTAGACCAATTGACTTGGTGTCAGTGCAAAAACAGGCGTGTTATAAGTCAAATCTACTGCTATTAACTGCGATAAGCTATATCTCCAGCCTTACGAGCACAATAGACTAATTTCCCTCCATCACAGTCAATGGCAGGAGATTTGACTTGCAATGAAAACGGGCATTGGATCTTTCTTGAAGAGGTTTTGTAAATATCTGTATTGAAATCGTAAGGCCGGTAGCGGCCACTATGCTAACATCGAATCTCGTAGTGGTTCTGTTACCCAGTCCGCTTTGAATAATGCCGCCAGATTTGATCGTTGTAAATCCCTCGCTAGCTTATTGAGCGGCAAGGGCGTTCGTAGCTTCTTCTGCGGTCGCATAAAATAGATGTCAACTTAGCACCGCATGACAAGCAGGATTAATTAAGAGTATTCAAGGGAAAGATAAACAACTTGAATACTATTCATTTATCCCGATTGTCATGTTGTGCTAAGTTCACAGCTCTTTTATGCGATCGCAGAGATGAGAAGGGTTGGATTGTGATGCTGCGTTGTGCGTTGCGTTGTGTGTTATGGAAAGGTTGAAAATTGAACAGCTGTCTGGTCGTGAAATTGTGGGCGTTGGTATTTTATAGCGCCAAATTATCGATGCGAATCTTGCCGAAGTGTTACCGGCCCTGAGCCTACCTGAGTGCAGACAGCTTTTTGTCGCCCAGCCAAGCACGGCCTTGCATCGTACCACCTGTCAAGCTCTCATCAACGACTGTTGACTGCACCGCGACGCAATCGCCACCGTTCACTGGGTATCATTCCATTGCTATTTCCAGAGTCTCCTCCACCATGTGCCCTCGAAATGGCCTCCAAACATCCAGTGCCCTCTAGAGCAGCGCTCAATGCTCTCCGAGGCGTCATCCTTACCACCTCCTGTTCTGTCATCTTGCTCGCCGAGGAGCGGCGGCGCCGGCTGCAGCTTGCACGAGCAGCAATTGAAAATGCACGAAAGCTTCACATGGTGCAGAGCAATCGAGGTCCACTAGCTCTCGCTGAAACCAATACACCATGGGAAAGCAGGTTCGCCGAGGTGGATGGGGAGGTTCTATCCATGGCGCCCCTGCCCCGACCGAGGACCTCTACGCGCCGCAGAGGCCGGTCGCATCTCATCGGGACCCGGAGCGAGAGTGAAGTGCATTACGACGATGACGGACGAACTCAATCGACGAGCCGAGCCGATACGAGAAGCAAGGTTTCCAAGTCGCCAGTTGACGTCGATGTACTTGGCCGCGCATTCGACATGGTCAACCTCGAGAACATGAGGCTATCGCCGCTAAGATCTCATTGCTATACTGATCTGGATTGGAAGGCTCCTAGAGCATTCACCCAGTCTGGAGCTTCAAAGGCTCCATTATCATCGACGAGACAATCAACCCCAGACACCAAGACCAGTCCCTCGCAGCCTGCAGAGGATTCACCGGAAGCTGAATACGAGTCAATTTTGGACAGTAATGAGGGTCTTCACATTGATTCCATCGGGTCTGCTCGGCTCTATCTGGAGAAATCCGGTTCAGAGGGCTTGACTGTTCGACCATTCTACGATGAAGCGATAGTGGTTTTGGAACAACTACTCCAAGACATGGAACTTACGGGTGCCAAAAAAGCAGATGTCTCAGAGAGAATCAATTTGGCAACCATGATATTCCAAAGGGTGGCAGCATTTGGTCCGCCATTGCCGAGAGCTACAAGACCACTTCGGAGTCAAGGTATTAGGCTCCTCCAGGTGGTTTCAACCGCTAGTCCGGACAAGTTGGCAACCACCCTAGCTATGTTGCTTCCTTTAAGCAAAGATCCCTTGAAGTTCTTGCTACCATTTATAGAGTGTACACAGCATGGAAGCAATCGAAAAGGGGTACAGGATGCCCTTAGGTTCTTGTCGCAAAATGCCAGGTCCTGCTCATGGGCCCGCGGCGTGCTGGTTTGCCGACTTCTCGCTCAGCTAGCAAAAACACAAGCCAACTATGACAAGACGAAAAGAGTTTACCGTGTGCTCCAGGACGCAGGCTTGTATAAAGAATTTGGCATTCCTCAGAGTACAGAATACAAGATACGACGGCTGATGGCCATTCTGGCCTTGGAACGTGGCGACGACTCACTTGCAAACACAGAACTCGAATTTTTGGGCAAGTTAGACTCGGAGGCTTGCAGATCTGATATCAGGTTGCAAACGCGACTCATAACAAGTAATGCCAAAATGGGTAAATGGGCAGAGGTTTGCTCGGATATTGAAGCGCTTGGGCAGATATCAAACACGCAGTGCATCGGGTTTCAGCGACTTTTAATACGAACCACGGACATTTTCGACAAAAGTCACAATGCCTATGAGCTAGAAATGTTCCTCCGGAAACTTGCCACGGAGTACAAGCTCAGCCTAAAACATCGTTGGATATATGCCGTATTGGACTACTACGCAAGTCGTCGACAAGTTGAACCTGTCTTCTCCTGGCTACAATTTTGCAGCAGCCACGGGTTGCAAATTGACTCGGCTTTCAATAAAAGGTTCTTTGCTAGGTGTCGTAAGTTCTGGAGCTTTTCGGACAAGACCATTCAGAGTTTAGAGGAAAGTCTACGAGCAAGAGCGCGGACAGCGCCACAAACTGCTTCAGAAATGGGCCAGAATGAGCTCCAGCGGCAAATGGCATCGCTGGTCTCCAATGGGGAGTGGGAGCAAGTTACCGAAATATACGAGACCGCCTGTTTTTCTGGCACAGACCACTCTATGCAGTGTTTGCGGCTTGCGGTGTTGGCATACACCAAGTGCCGGAACCCTGATATAGAACGTGCGAGCAACTTGATCCAGTCTGCCTATGCAAAAGGCGGCGACATAAGTGAAGCACTGACTCCCCTATTGCTGGCAAAATTGGAACGAGGCGATGACCCCAGCTCGTTGATCAATGGCGCTCTTCGGATGGGAGTTCGCATTCATGATAGTGCATACAACAAGGCTGCCCAGGCGCTATCTGGCCGTGGTGATCATCGGGCCGCTGCCGACATGTGTGAGCTTGCTGCAAGAGAGAATGGGAATGGCGAGCTTTTGTACAACGAGTACAACTTTGCGAATCTTGTGTTTGCCTACACCGGGTCTGCGAGCTACCGGGCTTTGCAGTCATTGCTTTCTGAATTCACATCGGATGTGCAATGGTGGCATGGTAGTCGAACATGCAAGGAAACAATCAAGCTGGCCATGAAGACGGCGGCGATGAGGAGTGTCGCGCATTCGCAAAACAGCGCACCACACCGACAGGCTCTCGACGAGCTAGACGAGGCGCTCATTCACGTCAAAAAGTGTCGTTCTACTAAGGACGATCGACGTGCTGTCTCGGAGGCTTACGTTCGTTTAGCGGCGATGCCATCATCCAAGGTTCACTCAAAGACGAATGGCAGATTTAGCAACAAAGCTAGTAAACTACGTCGGGAGCAGGAAGTTGCACAGATCGCCGAACCTGTGCTTGGAGTGGCATCTAGCTCAGGCTAAATTCCATAGTTTATATGTACAATTGAGAAAATTAATGTATGGAAGGATCACATAAAATGCAATAAATAAGGTTACTTGTGTCGTCTCGTGCAACCAGCTATCAATACCTAGGTACTCCGTACTTCAGTAGATAAGGAAAGTCGGCTACAGCAAGTCACGTAGCGACAAATCGAAATCAGTCGCATTTAATTGGGGGCAGCACAGGGTCTCATAGACAAAGGAACATGGTGACCAGTTGCAAGTTGGAGTGGAAGAAAAAGAATCGGACATGTCATGGGTCCATGGGCTCACTTTTTGCAAATTTGAGCAAGATTCGAACCATTGCCAACGGAAACGGACAACGACCTAGTCCCGAAGCATTACTATAGAAAGTGCCCAGCTGCCGTCTGATGACGAAACAGACAGGGCTGACGGGTGCGATTGTCATCAGACATAAAAGGGGGCTGGGACGAGAAGAGAAAGAGGAAGAAGAAGAAATTGGTGAGTTTATGGGTAGGGGGATTGGGTACTCTGTACAGAGTACCACGGGCGTTGGTGGATGAAGTGCATGTTGAAGGCTGAAATTTCCCAACACCTCGAGTCGAGATGCATCACATGCAATTTCAGTTGGAAAGCAGCGCCAGGTGGTTCGATAACGTTGGTGCAGTGGGTGTCGGGCCCTGTTGACCCAGGATGGCAAGTTCCAGGCGCGATGGCAATTGGCTGAGAGCGATGGCAGCCATCCACAGTGGCGCCAGGACGGAACATTAAGGTGCCTGGTGTAGTGCCAGGCAATTATTGCGGCACGGAGTACTCAAAGTCTGGCTGCATAGCTGCTGGAAGACCACATGCAGTGCTCAGTTGCGGGCAGCTTCAGAGGCTCCAGGCCCTGCAGGCACCAAACGGGGACCCGGCCACCAAGACTTGACCCCTGATGGCTTCACTGCGAGGGGCCTTTGAGGACGTTTTAATTGGGCCACCTCGGATCAATTGATTGCATGATCTCTTTGACGTCGGGACACTGAGGGATACATATAACGGATTCTCCTAGGACACGGTCTCGGGCGACTATCACCACGACCCTACCGTAGTGTACTTTCGTTATCATTTTTCTCTCTTTAATTCTGATGAGTTGTCATTGAACAAGTGGTCTGTCGTCATCCCCATACTAAACGTTTCGATCTGGGGATTCTTATTTTGCAGCGCCATCAGATCCGCGAAATCTAAACCCATCTGGCCACCCTCCCTTCTGGGTACACCGACAAACCCCAAGCCGACTGTCTTTTTTGCCCTCTGTCAATCGGCGGCCAATACACCACACAGCGTCTCAAATGTCTGCGAACCCAATCAGCGCACCGGGAGGCTCCCGCAGACGCCGCGAGCAGTACCACGAGGCCGATGTCGTTGTCGTAGGCGCGGGAGTCTTTGGATGCGCCATTGCCTTTGCCCTCGCCAACCAAGGCCGCTCAGTCTTGCTACTCGAACGATGGATGGCGGAGCCCGATCGTATTGTCGGGGAGCTGCTGCAGCCCGGCGGCATGGCCGCTTTGAAGCAGTTGGGTCTAGGGCACTGCGTCGAAGGCATTGATGCCATCCCCTGCAAGGGCTACAATGTTATTTTTAACCACATCCCATCGCTGATTCCGTACCCGACCATCGACGACAGCGGCAACGTTATATACGCTTGGGGTGGATCGGGAAAGGAGGGCAAGCGACCCGAGGGCAGATCATTCCACCATGGCAAGTTCATCACCAAGTTGAGGGAGAGTTGCCTTGCTCACGAAAACATAACGGTTGTCGAGACGGAGGTCATCAAGACTCTGCGGGGTGAATATACAGATCAGGTTTTGGGCGTCGAAACCCGAACCAAGAATCGCGAGACTGGGGACAAGAAGCCCGATTATTTCTTTGGTCAGTTGACCATCATCGCCGACGGTTACGACTCCAAGTTCCGCAAGGATGCCATCGGGGACAAAAAGGCCGTCGTTAAGAGCAAATTCTATGCGCTCGAGCTCATCGATACGACTCTGCCCCAAGAGAACTACGGCCATGTCATTATCGGAAAGGATACATTCCCTACACTGCTGTACCAAATCGGCACGCACGAGACTCGTGCGCTGTTTGACGTTCCCAAGGACATTCCAGAGGCCTCGCCTGCTGCTGGAGGTGTCCGCGGCTATATCAAGAACGTAGCCATCCCCGCTCTCCCGCCTTCTGTCCAGCCGGCTGCTCTCAGAGCGCTGGAAGACGGCAAAATCCCGCGCAGCATGCCCAATAGCTGGCTGCCGCCGACGAAGCAGATGCCCAAGGGAGTGCTACTCCTCGGCGATGCGTTCAACATGCGGCATCCCCTTACCGGCGGCGGCATGACTGTCGCCTTCAACGACGCGCTCCTTCTCTCGCAGCTTCTCGACCCGTCAAGGGTGCCGACTTTTGAGGATTCCAAGGCCATCGGCGCCGCCGTCAACGTCTTCTACTGGCTCCGCAAAAACGTCTCGTCCAACATCAACGTCCTCGCCCAAGCCCTGTACACGCTCTTCGCCGCCAATGACCGCCAGCTGTACGCCCTCCAGCTGGGCTGCTTCGAGTATTTCCAGCGCGGCATGACCGACGGGCCGTGCGGTCTCCTTGCCGGCATTATCCAGCGCCCTGCCGTCCTAGCATACCACTTCTTCTCCGTTGCCTTCTTGTCCCTCTGGCTGAATGCCCTTGCCATTTGTGCCGGGCCTCTGGGTGTCCTCAAGGCGCCCCTGGCGTTGATAGATGCCGTGCTTATCCTGTGGAAAGCCAGCTGCGTCTTTTTGCCGCTGGTATGGCGCGAGGGCTTCCAGTAACCGTCTTCGGGGGACATGAATAAGCAGGGAAGCGCGAGGCAAAGCACAAATTTTTTAAACATGGCCAGGCGTTGTTGTTTTTATTGTTTTTATTGTCCTTGTTGTTTTTACATCACAAACATGGTGCCGTGTTTTATTAACCAAAGCGTCATCTTGTCCAAGATGCTGCGTATATATGTACACCAGAGATACACGAAGAGCTCACCCGCCCATCACGATTGCACACAGGACAGGGTGGAATAGATGAGAGCGGCGGCTGCCTCTATGAGCAACGAGAACGTGCATTAGCTTATAATAATAATAATGGTTCATGCGTGACTTTTCCCGAAAGGCTTGCTCTGTGCGTATGATGATGCAGAAGGCTCACAAGAGGTACAGACTCGGCGTCGCGTTTTAGCCACCCAGGATCCGCGCCAGTACGCGCCTTTTACAAAGGTAGTGCTCGACTACAAGGAGCCGTCGTGAAGCTTGCGGGCTAGTAACTTGCCACCTCTGCGTAGATGATGCCGTCTTTCCCACCGCAAAAGCCCTCGAAGTATAAAAGAAATCCCGGCCCTTCCTGCACGCACAAGGTGCACCCCATTTCCAGGCTCTCGGCTTCGTTGCCACCCTTTTACAAAATCCCTTCAAGTAAAAAATTTTCATAATCAAAATGCAGCTCGTCAGCCACTTGATGGTGCTCCTCGCCATGAGCACCACCACGCTCTGCGAACCGGCCACGTCCATCATGGTAAGTAGCCACCCTGACCCCCCTCCCGTTGCATCTGGGTTCTCGCCTTTGCGGAGCGAGAGGGGGAAGGAGACAAATGGTTAACAAGAGCGAGGGTGTTTCCTATCTGGCCGGCGGCGGCGGGTGCTACAAGAAAAACCAATATCTGGGCCACTTTGTGAAGGACATTGTAATCAGCGGGAAGTGCCTCGACCTCGCGCATACCGAGTACGTTGTGTCCCGACGTTGCTTTACAGACGCGCAGTCGAGACAGATGATGGCTGACGAGGATAGTGCGATTAATTTTGGTACCGTGGACGGCTGGTGCTGGGGATACAAGTACGTGAACCCTGGATTCTGAGATGGCGGCGTTTCTGACAGTAAGACTAATCGTGCTAGGTCGCGTAAATGCGAGGGACTTAAGAAGGAGATGAACTTCACATTGGGCTGTAACAAGCTCTCGCGCCATGGGACCCCCATGTCTATCTTGTGCCGCTTGCCTGTCTACTGACAGTTAGATGCTAGAACATAGCGTCTTGTTGCGGATGAACGAGCTTGGAGGGGGAAGAATGGAATGGAATGAGTGGGTTACATGGTCAGATAACTTGTTTCCTGGGTTTGTGCGGCAATTATAGCAGCGGTGTTGTTTACCGTAGCAAAGACTTGTTTTCCTGCAGCCTTGTTGTGTTCTGATGAGTTTTCTCTTCTTTTTTGATTTTGACTGTCTATACTTGTCCGTGAAGAATCCCAACGTCTATGTTAACCGTCTTCGGTAGACGCCCATCATCCAGCTCGCTCTCAAGACGGCCAGTCCAACGGCCATCTTGATGCTGTCCTGGATGACATTTAATTTGCTTCCACCCACCTCATGCCACTCTATAGGCACCTCGGCGACCTTGATCCCGGGACTGGTGCCAATAACACCGCCATCGCTACCGAGAACGGGCGTAGCGGGCGCCGATTCAGCAAGCATCAGCATCTCAATGTCGAAGATCCAGCCCTCGGCATGCATGTAAGGTACAATGTGGGGTAGGGACTCGCGTGAGAACAGCTTGAAGCCGCATTGAGTATCGCGAATGCGTGATGTTGCAGGTGGCGTGAGGATGGTGAGAACCAGGTGGAAAGATCGCATTAGAAAGTTACGCAGAGCAGAGCGCTGCGAATTGTTTTAGCATGCCACATCTTAGGACACAATGTTGATGCCCGGGAACAATTACCTTGACCACGGCTTCGCTACCAACCAGGTGAGCGCGACTTCCAATGGCAACACCTCGAAAGGAGCCGTCGATAACCTCTTCACAACCCTCTATCAACTTGCTCACGTCACTGAACCTGGAGGCACCATCGGCATCGGCGAATAATACATATTCGCCTCTTACATGGCGTAGGCCGTGGGTGACGCCTCCGCCCTTGCCCCTGTTCTTAACCAGAGTCACGACCCGAAGGATATCATGGAGGTCATGCTTATGAGCAAAATCGAGTGCCACCTCCACAGTCTTGTCCTTGCTCCCATCATTGACAATCAGGATCTCGTAACCTCCCAGCTCCGCGTTCGACTTGGCAGCACTCGAATGTCCACGCTGGTGGCGTCGGCTGCTGGGGCTAAACGGACCCTTGGCGGTGGTGCTTCGCCCTATATGCTTGTCCAAATACTCTACGGCTTCTTCCAGCGTGGGCAAAATTCGGTCCTCCTCGTTGTACGCAGGGAACACGACACTTAGTCGCAGTTCGGCAGGCTCAATGCTGCCAGCATCCGGGGCTGGATACGCTTCTTGCGGACGAACATGCTTTTGTTCCTGGAGGCGACGTTCAGCTAGCCAGCGATCGTACCAGCATGGCAGCTGTCGAGCTGTTGTTGGCTTTCCTGAGGGGCTGGATGTGATGTATGTTTTCTCAGACGGGATGACGGGTCGGGGTTTGGGCGCTACAAGGTGAAGGAGGACGAAAAGCTGAAGACGGTAATATATTAGCCAAAATTGTTTCCAATATTCCCAAGGGCATGCGCCAAGCGAGAAGAGAAGAGAAGAGAAGCCATACACAAGCAAGGCCTAGGAGAATGAGCAAGATGAAGCAGACGAGAAGGACATGAACGGGGGTAGCTTCAATCCATGCTAACAGCGGCCGCATGAAGCGGGCCGCAAGCTCCAGGAGGGGCATTGCCATGAATTATCGTGCGTACAGATTGTTGCGAGATGAGCGTTGGAGCTCTGAACCTGGAGAAGCTCCAGGGACAGTAGCTTGCTGCGCGAGGATCGTGGTTTGAAAGTCAAGGCGTCGTCATTGGAAAAGAGAGTCAAGAAGAGCACGAGAACAAGGTAGACTGAAAACTGGAGGAGATGAAAAGGAATTGATCGCGCAATCGTGTGGAAGTGGACAGCATGCGAACGGCAGGTGCTAATTATTGCTGCCAGCTGACAACATCAATTGTTGAAATAAATGCGATGATCCGTTGTCTGCAAGCTGACGTCTAGTCGCAAGTGCCAACATTGAAATGCTGCACGTCCCAGGCGTCCCGTGGCCACACCGCGCCACGCCACATTCAAGGCCTGTACTCAGTAGACGTCAACGTGTTCACTTGCACAGCTTGACCCTGACACAATGCCACGGCTGTGGCGCACGCTGTTTGAGCGTGCCTTGGGTACTCCGTACTCCGTACTTTAGTACTAAGTTATTGACGTCTGGTATTGACGGAGCCAATCACCACCGCTCCGCATGACGGAAATAGAGCAAATGTCAGCCCGTCCCCATCCATTATGGGGACTGTCAACTTGCACTCAAGCTAGCCCCGTAGCCCAACTTGCCCGAGTCCGTCACCACTGTGCTCCATGATACTAGTACATAGTATGTAACCAGTACACTGGAGTTTTATTCCAAGGTTGGTGGGCTCAACCTTGGCACACAATGCATTACTCCGTGCTCTGAGTAATTTGCAACATTGAAGTCAGAGTCAGACAGATCTTCCGCCAGAGAGGTGCCGAACACTCGGGAAGCTGACCCAGTAGCAGCACTTGTTGGCAACTAAGTGCATTAGCCACTTAAAACCCCGTCCCAAGTAACAGCCAATTTGAACGTGCGAGTGATCCGTACTACCCTACATTCACCATCGTCACATCATTATTTGTGACCAAAGTCTGCAGAATATTGATGCAATGCTACCATGTATGTCTGAGCACTTTCTCCAAATAATACGACATCGTCAGGCGTGAGAGTCAGTCTCTCGAGATTATGTATCCATCGGGCTCTCGGCCTCTCGGAGACAATTTGACACAATCGTCCACATTGGCAGGGATGCAGTCCCTGCATCTCCACCAACTCAAAGCAGATTCCCAAATTTGCTGTAGCATTAGTAAATTCCTAAATGCAATGTGCAGCACAAATATATTGTACATACCTGCCCACCTGCCCACCTAACCAGATAGCCAGCATACTAAGTAGAGTATTGTCGGCGAAGTACCTTGCCTTGCTTCATGAGCCAACCGACGCCCACTCATTTAGATCTCGTCACCTCAGCCAGTATGGGATACGCTACAACAGTCAGACTTGTTACTACCCTGCTATGCCTTGTATCTTCAGCGGGGTTTTAACATAAAGTATATGCCCTTTTTATATAGATACCTGATCTATACCACACGATCTTATTCCTACTACACATCCTAGAGCCATTCCACTATTGACCAGGCCATTTGGCCACCGCATGATAATAAAACAGCACAAAGATAGTGACAACAAATGCACAAAGCAAGACTCCCCAAACACCATTCTTCTATGCCAAATAATCATAAATTCGTTAAAAAATGATGAGCAAATCGAACTGAAATTGCTCAGGTCAGTGGCTGGCCAAAGGGAACTGGTATCGCGAGGCTTCGTGACGGGTTGCCATTTTTCCCACAATAAGAGAAGCTTATCTCTCGATTCGAAGACCAATCTTGGGCACCTATTCTCTCTCTTACACCATGAATCCTCGCGAAGGTGGCAGGTCTTTGCAGCACTCTAGACTGCAACAACTGATACCTTCGAACTGGACCATCGATTCTTCTTGAAAAGCTTCCCTCCACCTGTCTTGGACAGTTTCTTGCTCTTTCCACCCTTTGATGGTGCTGCTTCAAGTCCTGCCTGCTCAGGGAACACATTCACGAGGTCTCCATGAGCCAGAGTTGAAGGAGGGCGGCTTCGATCCATGTGCTGATGATGGTCAGGGACAAAAGCCTGTGTTTGCCAGGTGTCCCGCCGCATGCTGTCCACATCTTGGGAGTGGCGGCCATTGGAACTAGCTTGTGATGTGCTGCTATATGCCATGGCAATACCAGCTCCAGCGGATTGACCCACGGTCATTCTAGAGGATGGCGTTGGAACTCCTGACTCGAAACTAGATATTGATAGCCGATTCAGAGGGTATTCAGACTTGTGAGCACTCGATACTGCGGGCGCCAAAGAAGCTGAAGCTGTCTGCCGCGTTGGCACACCGGAAAGGCCAGGCAGCGATGTGGATGAGCTCCGCCGTGATGTAGGAGTAAGCGTGTTTGAGGGCGATGTGCCGTTATACCCATGGGCAGCAATAGTTCCGGGTAGAACTCCAATGTTCATCGGAGGCATGACTGGGACGGTGGGAATTGAGCCGAAGCCCCTCATAGAAGGCGGCGGGCGAGAATCTCGAGTATAGTTAGAAGTATTACCTCTGCCAATGTTGGACAGCGTGTATTGATTTGCCGAAACGTCTGATATCCGTCGGGCACGACTAGGATGAAGGCGATGAGCTTTGGCGCCATCGCCGGCTCGAGCCCTGGCTGCATTGGAAGGCTTCATTTCCAGGTCGTCTTGAGAACTTGTTGAGTCACTGGAGCTTTCCACAGGAGAAGGGTCACCTGTTACCAGTGCTTAGTGTCAGGGTTCAAAGGAATGGCACCTGGGAGATATCAGGAAATATGGTCTCATGACATACCTTTACTCGACGCTGGGCTGATGCGCTGGGAGTCGTAGACCCGAGGGACTTCCTTCCCCTTAAGTGACCCTGGATGTACATATGTCATGTCTGGCGCGGTGTACACCATTTCACGACTGTCACGAAGTACACCTGGAAATGGGGATATGCCGGCGTAACTGTATGGTCTGGGCATCCGAATCGTAGCGGCGACACCTTCTCCAGGATAAGACACACGGGAAAGGCTGCTTCCAACCCGAGGTACACCAGGCATACTCATATGGTGACCGCTAGCGGCCATTGCACTCCGTCTGCGATTCTGTTCAATGATTCGAGAACGATCCGCCTCTCTCCAGCTCGGCGGCGCGCTGGCAAATGCATCGGTTGCCGCATGAGTAGGAACATGTTTATATGGAACTTGATCTGATTCCTTTTTCTTCTGCTCGACCAGCTTGGCATTATGTTCTTTGGCCTGCTGGCGGCTTTTCTTAATGTGAGCGAAGATGGACATGTCGGTGAAAGTATTATCGAAGCGAAGCCCGGTAATCGATTCAGCAGAGTCGTTCCAATAGTTTAACACGGCAAAGGTATACAAAAGATGATAACCCAGAGGCTACCTCGACCCAGTCAAATACCACGTAGGCAAGAACAGGGGGGACAAACAAAAAACGCTGAGAAACGTTAGGAGGCAAGCGGTCGTGCCACAGCGCCGGGCTTGACAACGGGACCAACGGTATAAATCTAGAGCCGTGTTGGCCCTAGCAGGAACCCCCGGCCCGTCAGAGTATACCTGGCGCCACAGGGGTTCACGAAAAGAGTATCAGCGCTGAGCGAGGATAATAATGTCTTAATATCGTGCCCTAGGATTAGCAAAAAGCAAAGGGTTCGCGTATTCTAATAAGTTTTTGGGTGGGCTGCAACACCTTTTAGGTGACGGATTTCCTGGACGATTCGGATTCCTCGACTAGTGCAAGTGGACCGGGTACGAGGGACGACAGGGCGGGCCTCACGAGTGAGACGAGGGTGGAGCAAGCCACCTCCCGTCCGACGCCTTGCTCCCGCCAAAATGCCCAGATGGGCTCAATGGTGTGCACGAGTCCACTCAGCTACCCTCCCAGGAGCCCTACAGACGTCAAGTCCAGCTGCAGGGGTCTGTTTGGATCCGTGTCGGTGTCGCCTGGCTGCTCGTCTTTATACCGTCAGTCGATTCCCTCCGTGGTCGTGGCTTGGATGCGCAAGTGCACAGTGAGGAGTTTCAAGTAATAGAATCGAAAACATCTGGTTGCGGCTGACTCAAGTCGGCGACGCCAGCCCGCAAACCGAGCAAGCAGAATGCGAGACGTGAGACGAGTGTCAGGCCCGACTTTGATGACGTGTGGTCTGGGTCTTATGGTGCCGTTGCTGGTTCTAGAATGGTCAGGCAAGAGAAAAAGAAGGTCGTAGTACAGCAGAACGAGGTGAGCTGGAGGCTAGCTGGACTAATACCCAGCATGCAATCATGCAATCATGCAAGGCTAGAGGTTTTCTGCAGCTCTACCCACGTCAAGAGAATGGACCAGATGACAGACGTGGTTGGAGATTGGATTGAGTGGCCAAATAGTTTGGACGGACGCAAACGTCAGCCTTCGCCTCCAAGTCGCTTAGGCCAAGATTGGAGGGGTTGGTGGTTGTTGGTGGCAATCAACTGACAATTCGTGGTGATCCCCCGCAGTTGTCAAGGAATGGCTCTGAACAAGGGCCAGGCCACGCCAAGCCAGGAAGAATAAAAACAAAGCAGGCAAACGGGTTGGAAGAAGGCGAAAGGGAGATGGCCTGGAGACAAAGATGTGAAGGATCAGATTAACGAGAACAAGTCGACACAGGCAGGGACAAGGCAGGGACGTGATACGAGCTCAAGGGGCCAAACCAGGTACTGTCATTTGCTCGGGGGGAAGGAGTGTCCCACGCAAGGCTTCTCCTGCTCTCCTGCCAGTCTACCATTGAGGGTCTGGTACAGAGTACACCAGACACCTGGTCCTTCCCCGTACATACACGAGGTGGCATGAATTTTGGCCCCGTCAATGGTAATGTGCGACGAACATCGCAAACAGTCGTCAAGGGACTGGCATTCTCGCCATGTTTCACGACACTGCTAAAGCTTTTCCATGTACCGAATACTTTGTCGGCGCATTTTTGACGTCGGCTCCCGCTGCCAGTTTGAAGTACTAGCCTTCAATAGAGCAAAGGCGGACGACTCCACGATGTTAATGCTACGGCCTGATCGCGCATGACAAACCATCCATCGGCTAGCTACTCCAAGGCGCAATTCCCCCTTCTCTTAGCTTGTTCTGACTCCTCTGAATTCTATCGCTGTAATGCTTTCTACTGCTCTACACCGCCGTCTCTGGATCTCCCTTATGTGACTCTCTACTCGGTATGTCACGCAGACTATACTACTTCTTTCCCGCTAACATCCACACGGCCTCCAGCTTACCATGCAGATCGAAGTCCCAGAGCTAACTTGGATGGCAGCCAGTTGGCGGTAACCGACGAAAAGTCGACGACCTAGGATCTGGGATGCAGATCATCCTAGCCAATCGAAGCATCACGACCATCTCTGCCAACAACAAGAAGCTGTGTGTCACCGTGCTGAAGACACAACCATATGTACAGGAATTGCGAAAGCTAGATTTCGCTGCGGCCCGAACGGAACCGCCTCTACCCTAAGCATGTGCCTGGTCCCCACAACCATCATAAACTATCGGGTGCCCGCTCAGCTCTCGAAGAAGCCACAGAATGAGATTATTGGTAGCAGCTGCCGCACGCCACGACTGTTGGAGTTCCACAGGGGGCCGAATCTCACGGATGGAGCACAGGCGTTGACAACAACAAAGTGGAGGTTGGCCCTGAAGTTCTTGGTAGCTCCGTTTTTAGAGTCAGCCACCGGGAGGGAAATCTTTCAACAATCACGGACAAATGTGGGTTTCGTGTTCATGGCGATGAGTTCATCAAACCTAAATTCTCGGTATTGTAGATCCGTATCATGTTGCTAATATACATTTCTTGTCCCATCGGCGAACGAAAAGCAACCCCGAATGAGTCTTGTGGACTTGATGATTAGCACACGGTGCCTAGATCTAACTTTGTCTCCGTCGAAATCAGCTAGGAGCAACTCCGACGATCGGGACTGACCGAGCGCCGGGGTCAACAGCCCTGCGCTGTGCCTAGGAGTGGCCTCGTATTTGCGTCCCAACAAGGTGCGGTTTTCTGTCTATTGCTGGTGCCTGGTGCCCGATTAATTGAGCTTTGGCTGGCTGTGGCCGTCATTCTGGGCGTTGAACAAAAGAACGCATACCCGTTCCTCTCATTGAACAGACGAGACGCGTTCGACAGCGGAATGGCACAGAACAGTTGCCTACGGCCGTCATGAATATTATTGTACCCACCACGGAGTACGGGAAGAATCAGCACAAAGGCGGCGCCATTTCCTTGGGCTTGGTTCCCTCGTTTTCCTCAGCGAGGGTCAACATCTGCATGTCAGATGACAAACTCGCACCCCACGTCCTGGCCGCCAACGGCTGAGATATCAGGCATGTTTTTCAGTCCGAGAACCCCCATGACTTGATAAGTTACCTAGGTTCTGGGTAGATCAATCTGTCACGCCAACGTTCCTATTTTTGATGTCGTTTATGGGGATGATGATTTGCCCTAGTGGCCTGGGATCCGTTGTTTTACGCCGCTGGCTCCGGTGTATCAAGTGTGACATGGAGGGTCCACCAGGCACAAAGGATCCAGACACCCACAGCCGGACACAGCAAGTATAATAAATAAATAATGCAGAAAACCTAACAGGCTGAGCAAAGCCGATAATTGGCTTGTTAGCGTGGACCCCTGTGAGGGACCACAGAAGGGGTTTACAAGTAAAGTTATAAGAGCTTAAGTATATAAATAATAAGTATATATTATAATAAAACTAATAAAAAAAGACTTTTTTACATATATTTTTAAACAAAAGTAATTAAAAAAGGAGAGGCGCGCCGAAGAAGCAGACCGAGCAAAGCTTGAAGCTAAGAAAGCTAAAGCATTGGCGGAAAAACATAAAGAGGCTGGGAGTTAGAAAGAAATCAGGTATGGATGATTACGTCAACAAGGCAAGCAGAGGCACGGGCAAAAAAGGCAGAAACAGACCTGACATTAGTAATTAAGAGTAAGAAAGAGGTTAGACGGCAGCTTAACATGGCAGCTCCGGTGCGCCATGTGATTAAACCAGCTATCTCGCTTAAGCGATAAAAGAAGGGGCCTTCTAGTCTAAACAAAAAACCACGCCTATTAAAATCGGCCGCACATAATAAGACAGGGCTCTAAAGCCCAGAAATAACGTGGCATGACAAGCGACTATAATATTTAGCGCATAATCTCGACTAAGTGGTTAATAACTGGGGAGCAGAAGAAGTAAGATATACTCGTTTCACGTTTAGTACCAACTCAGTCCAGGTTAACGGAGTGGAGAAAAATTATAAGATTACCGAATCTGACGAATTTAAAGAGGAGTAACTCTAAGCTACCGGGCAGACGTAATAAATCTTGTATAAGAAAGTGTAGTACAACAAGACGGAAGCAACATAGAGCAGGAACAGGGGATAATAACGCAAGTGCTATGATGAGCTAGAGTTCTATACAAAGCATTGCATGTATTTAAGTATAGTAGCTCTATTAAAAGGATCGCCACCGGGCACAATAATTTTATGTTAGTGTGTGTACTGCTAAACGAGTGTGTTATTCATCATCTATCTGTAAGGACTGACTAGGTTAAACTACGATATGGATAGAAATAGTGTAGAACTGCGAAACGAGCGGTTTCTACAAAACTGGCGCTAGATGCTCCCGATGCCGTCTTTGCTCTGGTGGTCATGCGTACGATTTAGAGGTCGTCTCCGAGAGGGATTCTGAGGCGAACAAACTTTAAAAGACCGTATTCTTTCCAAAGGCCGCCCTTCTTGAAAGCCTTTTGCTCCTCCACTTCCTCAACAAGCTTGACCTTGTGTGGAGTGGCCTTGGTGCGAGGCGGGAGTATTTCCTGCTCCGTCTTGACTACTGCAGTGGAGATGAGCAGCTTGCCAGAAGCGTCAATGGCTTCCGCCGACACAGAAGTGAGTTTCTGGTTGGGAACAAGGAGCTTCGTCTCGAAGCTCTTGCGCTCGACTTCGCCCAAGAAGTGGCGAGATGCAAACTCATCCGTCTCGGCGTAGAACCGCCAAACAGCAGTCTCGGTGTCGCCGTTCCAAGAGACGTAGACGGCGGTGCCGTCATTACTCTCAAGCGCAACAATAGCAGGGTCCTCGCTGGGCAAACCAGTCCAGTTGTAGCGGAAAGCGCGGTAGTTTTGAACGCCGTCGCCGAGAAGACCAGAGTCCATGTACGCGTGGAAGATGGGCGTTCCGTCGCTGGTGAACTCGGTGACGGCGCCCTCGGAGCCCCAGCCGACGAGCACGTTACCGCCGGGCAAGACTTGAGTGCTGCCCTGGGACTTGGACAACAGATGGTCAGGTGGGAAGTAAGCGCGGACGAGGTCGGCGGTCCAGGACTTGGTGTTGAGTTTCAAGATCTTTCCGCTGCTGGTCGGCGCGGTGTGGACTTCTGATCCGCCGCTGTGCTCGGTGCCGTGGGCGCTGTTGTCGTACAGGCTGATGATTTCGATGCCGTCTTCCTGGCTGAGCCAGCGGGCGTGGTGCTGGAAGCAGAACTTGGTGCCCTTGGCCATTTTGAAGTCGCTTCTGTTGCCGTTGAGGCGCCAGATGATGGAGCCATCTGTGCCGTTGATCTTGTGAACGGCACAGGCGTCACGGGCGGAGATGAGGTAGTTGCCCTCAGCGTCCTTGTCGACGCTGTTGATGTGGAAGTAGTCCCATGCGTCTGAGGAGTTGTAACCGGAGCCGGCTTGGCCTGGGTTGATTGGGAGAATGGCCTCTGTTGGAGAGTTAGAGGTCTGGTCTGGTGGTATTTGTGGAACGCTTGGTCTGGTGTCTCTTCACTCACCGTCGGGAGTTACATGATCCAGGCTGGACCACTCAAACAGCAGCTTTCCAGTAGAAATGTCAAGCTCTAGAGTCAAAGGTTAGCCCTGTGTCGGTTTACGTTGAAAGCACCACGAAGAAGCCCTGACGAACCTTGAATGATGGCATTCACAATCCATTGCTGCTCTGGGCTGGCGCCCCATTTTGTCAAGTCTCGCGGCACAGGTTGATAGATCTGGATCAGGCCCGTTTCCTCATTCACGATATGGAACTCGTGTTTGTCAACCAGCTTATGATTCCCCGCGCGAAGTTCGCGAATGGTCTCGTACCGCTGGTCAACAAACGTAATGTGTCCATGGCCGTGCCCATATCCGGCATTGTGGTCGCCTTCAAAGCTGAACAAGACGTCCTTGCCCTTCCAACGACCAGCCTGGAAGTTGGTAGACCAGATGCTGAAAATGGAGTATCCAGACCACACCAGGTCACCATTGTCCCTGAAGATGTACGGCCCAGCCTGGCGGGGACCATGCTGCTCCGTCGGCGTATCGGGGAAGCCAGCAAACGGCGCGAGGAACAGGTAGCCCTTCTCAACGGCATTTGTAGCCGGAATGGTGATGTTCAGACGAGGCGGTGCCAGGTCCGGCCGAGATCTAAACTGCCAGTCTGCCGCAACGGGCGCCAACAGTGCTGCCGTGACGAGACCAAGCAGAGAGCTACATGTAGCTTTCATGGTGGTGGTTGGTTTTTGGGTCGGTTGCTAATCATGTCAGATGCCTGGCATCTCATTTCCTTGCTGAAGAATAGGTACATTCACCTTGATTCAGTACACGAGCCCTAAAGTCAACAGACTTGTTCTTTCCTTCTAAAATGTTCACTTTTGGATTTCTTTGGAGTTGTCGAGACTTTGCGTCACAGTTGTCGGTGCGTTGTTAAGGAACTGATTGACGGCTAATTTAGCCTTATATTGCGTAGATTCCATGTGCTTCAATCACGCAATAGCGACGAGGCATTAAGCAACCGGTTTGACAGCAGGGCGACAAATTGGCCGTTGTCGGGGTCGTGATTCCTGCACATGAAGGCCGATCGATGACCCGGACTCATATCTGAGAAGAATTGCGTGCTCATTCGTCTGTGGGCGCCAGTGGCGGGTTGGTGCAGCCTCAATGGTGACGGAAACAAGGGTCAATTCAGTTCCACCAGGAGTTTGTTAGTTGTAATGGAACCGGAATAATACAGTATGCATATTTTGCAGAACGAATGCTTAGTCATTGTAGATTTAACGTGTCTTGAGTTTGTGAGGAGTTTCGTGCCCCGCCAACTTGTGATGCCAGTACTCGAGAGTCGAGATAAATACCTGACTACACACACCGTTCTACTTTATTGATGGCTCAGTGGGCCCAAATTTAAGAGTCAAGATGGTAGTAGCCAAATACAGTGAGAAAACATTATGAAAATAATCAAGTACTTGAGCAAGTTTCCTCTGCATGAACATGTCGCTGCGTCTAAATGGGAGCGTCTCATTCATTGCTCGAGGCAAAAGCGGGAACGGCGTGGGTTCACGTCTGGTCAAGTTCAAATCCAAATTCACATTCATGGATTGATTGACTGGTTCCACACACATCCGATGTAGCTGCAGATTTCTGCATCACGCCATTCTGATAGTCTGTCCTCCTACATACACCAGTCAGTTGAAGAATTTCCTCTTCGCCTTGGGCATCGCTGGGCCATCCATCGCCAGACCAGATAAGTTGCCAACCAAATCTGCCACGTCCCGACTCCCGACCATTGTCTCATTGACTTTACTCGCACAACATCACCACGTTCACGTTCAACAAATTCACACGGCGACTCATTTCTGTACCGTGCACACATTGAAATGACTTCAACAAGAGAGGACCAAGAAAACGGCATTCTCTGCCAGAATCCCCCCGACGGACCCCCCCTTGAACCGCGCGAGGACCAAGCACTCTTACAACAACCCGCAATCGCAGAATGGAAACCCCCCCGAGGCTTCGTCTGGATTCAAATCGCCCTCATGAACAATGTATTCCTCAATGCGTTCGACGGCACCATCATGGCAGCAACCTACGCCGTCATCAGCTCTGAATTCGATGCCACAAACAGCGCATCGTGGCTCACCACCGCGTACTTGATCGCCTCCACGGCCGTTCAGCCTCTATACGGCCGCGTTTCAGACATTTTCGGCCGGCGAGTATGTTTCTTCGCGTCGACAATCCTCTTTGCCGTGGGGAGTCTGGGCTGCGGACTCTCAGGCAGCATGGTGACGCTCATCATGATGCGTGCTCTGACTGGCGTTGGCGGAGGCGGTCTGCACATCATGGCTACCATTGTCAATTCCGACCTCATTCCCTTCCGGAGACGCGGCATATACCAAGCCATGCAGAATGGTGTCTTTGGCCTTGGCGCCATCTGTGGAGCTTCGCTCGGTGGCAACATTGCCGACAGAATTGGCTGGAGATGGTGTTTTCTGCTCCAGGTGCCCGTGTCCGTCTTTGCCTTGATCGTGGGTAGTCTTGTTGTTAGGGATCAATCTTCTAGCATGCTGTTGTCTCTGGATGAGGGATTGCAAGTCATGTGGAAGAGGATTGACTTTTCCGGTGCTCTTCTCCTTGTTGTGGCTGTTTCTATACAGTTGCTTGGTCTTGGCTTGGGAGGGAACTTGCTACCCTGGGGGAGTCCGTGGGTTATTAGCTCTCTAGTTGGGAGTTTGGTACTCTTTGCGGTGTTTGTCGTGGTTGAAGGAAAGACTTCTGCTATTCCAATGATACCGCTTCGGATGCTGAAGGGTCGGTTGCCTGTTGCGACGCAAATATCCAACGCTTGTGCGGGATGCGCCGCGTACGGAGTATGAACATCCTCACGTTTCGTTGGCTTGCGGTTTTACTAACCTGTGGACAGTTTCTATTCATGGTGCCGCTCTTCTTCCAGGTAGTTCTGCTAGAGTCAGCTTCCAAAGCCGGTGCTCGTCTGGTCATTCCGTCGCTGGCAACGCCAATTGGCTCTGTGATAGCAGGAATTGTCATGTCCAGATACGGCAAACTCATAGCAATGATGCGCATAGGGTCTATTCTCATGGCTGTGGGAAATGCTCTTATATTCTCTTTACGATTCGTCGACTCAAGTTGGAAATATTTTGCGTATATATTCCCTGCCAACCTGGGCCAAGGCGTTGTGTATCCGTCTATTCTGTTCACGTCACTAGCTTCATTTGAGCATGAAGGTACATCTACGCTTTGCAGAACAATCTACTTGCTCTCTTTTGCTCATCATCACTTCAGATCACGCGGTTTCGACATCCACAGTCTACTTGATTCGCTCGCTCGGTGGCGTTTGGGGAGTATCCATCACTTCCGCTATTGTGCAAACTTCGCTCAGCGTCCGTCTTCCGGATGCTTTGGGCGGGATACCAGATAAATGGAGAGTACGCCCCTTTTTTTAAATGTCTTGATTCCTTCCGTCTCTGTGTATGAGTGTAACCAAGCTGACTTAACACGTGTGTGAACCAGATTATAGATCAGATCAGGCATTCGGCTTCTAGTATACACAATCTGCCACCGGAAATTCAAATGCAGGTTCGGCTCGTATACTATGATGGCATTCGCTGCGCCTTTGCTGCGTGTACAGTAATATCACTTATTGGCGTGGTGGCAGCTTTTGTAGCTACAGCTTCTAAGCTGCGAAGCACGCATTAACATGGTAAGCATGGGCAGATCAAGCCGAGACCCTCCAAGTGTTGGCAAAAGGTGGAGGGCGGCAGAGTCATTGCTATTAGTAGGAAAAGTTTGATTCTACGGCACGCCACTCGTGGAGAAGGCGGAAATGTTAGAGTCGCTAAATGCGTAGATGTAGAGTGAAGGAGTTGAGTGTATTCAGTTGGATATAAACGGCACGCCACTCGACTAACCGTACCACGCACCACAGCATATAGTTATACACGGTCATGTTAGTTTGTACAGTACTGTGGAACAGTGTATCTGTGTATTTTGCGACCTACAAGCATACAATGAATGTCATGTATTAGTGATACTGGGTATGGACAAACGTAGAATGTTGATTGTAATTGACACAACCGGCTTATCGGGATAAACAGCGAGTATCTTCTGGCACATGAAACATTGTTCCCTACTCTTTTCCTCATTGGCTACAGAGCTGGATAATATCAAATATTCACCTCCGCAATCGGCAAGTGCTGCTTTTGTTTCTCTGTGTGTGGAAACTACTCACCATCATGGTTGGCGATGACGAGCTTTCGGCTGCGATTGTACAATACCCCTGGACCTGGTCGTCTCTCACCCCGGCTTAGAAGCACATCGACACTTCGCCAGCAAGAGTGAAAGTACTGACTAGGAAGAGAAAAAACATTCACGACGAATAAATGTTAGGGAAATACAATGGACAATAAACCATTTCTCAGTCTGCACCAGCTCTCCCGCGTCATCACTTGGAATCAAGCCAGCCATTGCGAAGCTGCGGTGTATGATGACGAATTGCAATATTCTATACTATTGACGTATGCATGAAAGCAACCAACTTGGACAGTCGAGTATCAGTATGTAGAGCACAGGGTATGCATAGAGGTTGATCCCCAATCTGCAGTCCCAGATATACATTCGCAGCCGCTGCTTGGTGTGATTCTCGCAACAGCAACCAAGAAACACCATTCTTGTTTATCAAAATATTCCAGTAACATTTTAGAAGGTCCAAAATGAAGAACCACGTCCAACACAAGACCCTTCAGGCTGGTTCCTCGGCAACAACAAGCTCCGCACCCAGCGAGGTTGCAGAATCCAATTTTGACGACCTACCACCGTCAACCGGCCATCAGTACGGCTCCGTAGAACCACACGTCTTCACGAGCTCTGCCCGCGCCGCATATTGGAGGAACATGTACGAGAATGCAAAGTACGAGTGCAGACACCGGTTCGATCCATCGTTCCAGTGGTCTCCTCAGGGTGAAGTTATCGTCAAAAGGAAAGTAATTCAACTTTACTTGACTCCACAGTCCCAAGATGAGTACCTATTTGAAGTTTTTCTCTGGTGCTGACTTTTCTACTCTTTTCCACAGCTCGATTGGCGCATCATGCTATGGGTCTGGGTCATGTTTTCTTCGCTCGACCTTGTCCGTAGGAATATCAACCGCGCCGTGTCGGATTCCCTGCTTGCAGACCTCAAGGTCAATACCAATGACTACAACACCGGCCAGACTATCTATCTGGTGTGCTTTCTTGCGGCTGAACTTCCAGGCGGGTTGATCAGCAAGAGGGTCGGTCCGTTTCGGTATACGCCCACGGTCATTATTCTGTGGGGAGGTCTTTGCATGGTTCAGGCGGCGATGCGTGCTCGTTGGAGTTTTTGGCTGTTGCGAGGGTTGCTGGGCTTTGCGCAGGGTGGCTTCATTCCTGAGATGGTGTGTCCCGTGTGATTATACTTGATTATGGTTCGCGATGAAACAACATTTCAACTCATACGGGTGCTAGGTCCTTTACCTCTCGTACTTTTACAAGAGCAACGAACTGCCGTTTCGTCTTAGCCTCTTCTACACCGTTATCCCGTTGACGCAGATTTACGGCAGTCTTTTCGCAGGCGGTCTACTGGAGATGCGTGGTCTTCAGGGGCTGGCTGGCTGGCGGTGGTTGTAAGTGCAGCATCAAGGCACTTGACAGTTTTTTTTTGGCATTCACTCACGTCTGGTACTCTAGGTTTCTTGTTGAGGGGCTCATCTGCGTCGTCATCGGCTTCATCTCTTACTTTGTCATGGCGCCCTCAATCACCGAGCCTGCTTTTGCGTTTAAGCGGCCTGATGGCACCAACAAGTGGTGGACTGAAGCGGAAGAAAAGATTCTGGTCAATCGTCTTTTGCGCGATGACCCAACAAAGGGCGACATGAATAACAGAACTGCAGTGTCAGCCAGAGGCATGTGGGAGGCTCTCACTACGTATGATCTGTGGCCAATCTTCATTGTAGGTGATGCATGTCCCGGTTCTCCGTAAGATAACATGACTAAATGATTTGTAGCTGGGAATTTTCGTCTGGATCCCCTTCCAGCCCACTGCGAACTATCTTTCGTTGACACTGCGTAATCTTGGATACACAGTGTTTCAGTCAAACCTGCTCGCCATCCCTGGATATGCCCTGTTTGCAATCAATGTAGGCTGCCGATAACGCACAAAGGCCAAAAGTATCTGCTGACCAGAAACAGACCGTCGTACTGGGTTGGTTCTCGGAGAGATTCAACGAGCGACTTTTAATCGCGGCCGGAAGCAACATTTGGGTGCTCCCCTTCTTCATCGGCCTCATCTGCATCAAGCCAGATGCCAACCCGTGGGTTCGCTACACCCTTCTTACCGGAATCAATGGCATCCCATACACCCACTCCATTATCGTCGGCTTGGTGAGCCGCAATGCAAAGGCAGTTGGTCGTCGGGCAGTTGCTGCTGCTGTGTACAACATGACGTATCAAATTGGAAGTATCGCAGCCGTGAATATTTATCGTGACGAGGACAAGCCGTACTGTAAGTGGAACGTATTTCTTCGAGGAAAGGAGGTGCTGTGCTAATTACCTTTCAGACTACAAGGCCAATAAGGGTCTCGTGGGATTGTGTGTCTTTAATATCCTGCTGTTTGTCCTGGCGAAGCTGTACTACGTGTGGCGGAACCGCGTGATTGACAGGCAGCATGCTGAAACGCCCGCAAGCGAAAAGTCTCGGATGGTTGATGCGCGATTTGCTCACTAAGTATGGGTGAAGATGGACGCCTGGGTACATTTCGCACTTCCAGGTGTTTATTGTACCCGTGGCTTGCTATTCCGATGAGTTGCTACCAGACGGCTAAGCAGACGGTTGGCGGAGGGTGGGTGGTAGTTGAATCAAGTCATTGAGATTAAATAGTAGGTAGCCAGTAAATTGTGTAAACAGTGTTTGTTGAGTCAATCTCAAGTTTAATATCCAGGCATCCACAATACTGAATCGTGCATCAAGATTCCAGGCTATGTCGAAGGATCGGTTTCGTGAAGAAGGGTTCAGAGATTCCTCTTGGCAATAGAAGTTCGGAAACCCAATATGCCTGATTTACTCGCTCTCGGTATCCCTATACTGAACAGGCTCAGTACGTGCGTCCAAAAGTCTCGAGTGCCTACGTAGGTGGTTCTCGGATGTACTACGAGAGGCGTACAAGGGATGGCATTTGAATAAACCTTTCACCACGCTTACAGGATTGCTTGTCACACTCATATATGATGAGCTCAAAAGCGATAACCATTAGTTGCAAAAGGTCCCTACAGGACATGATTCGTAACACCCAGTGTAGTGTGACAGCATGAAGGACATGACTTGTTGTTACAAAGACACAATTCCCTCGGAGAACTGCAGGCATGGCCGCTACTTGCAAGGAAAGGTTTGGGCACACCTTCTGCTGCAACTTTGATCGGTCAGAGATAACATTTGGAGTATTGAAACCCCGCTTAGACGACCTCCGATCCGTATGGACACTTGCCGCCAAAGACCCGGAGACTCCGATTTGGTCTTGTCGACCGCCAGCAATCATCTACACCAACAAACACCCATAGTTGACGACGCTCATAAGCAATACTGCAGTAATGCCAGCTACCTACCCAAGGTGCTCCGCATTCGTTTCGCCTATTACCGAGCAACAAATTACGTGCGTTGAATGGATTGCCGGCCCATGTCCTGGAATATCGCCGATCGGGGACAAATGTGGGGCCGCATCGCGGGGGCGGGCATGGCGGACACAACCCCGAACTCTGGGAATCATGACGGAATCAACTCGAGGGAGTGTCTAAAGCCAAATACCAGTCCTGGGACCGAATCCTTCCTGCTTACCGATACTTTTTAAGCCTGCTGCTACCAACCCAGATCCAGTCATTATGCGTGTCCTTGTAACTGGTGCTGCCGGCTTCATCGGCCAACTCGTCGCCAAGGCCCTTCTCAATGACGACAAGGGCACTTACACGGTCATTCTGACGGATATCGTGGAGCCTCCGGTCCCCAAGGGAGTCAAGTTTCCGGATAATGCAAAGTGTGTCAAAGTGGACTTGCTGACCGGCTCTTCCAGCGTTGTGGATGATGATTTGGATGCTGTCTACGTCCTTCATGGCATCATGTCAGCTGGTGCCGAGGCGGACTTTGAGCTAGGTAAATCTTAGACTTGCCGAGTGCAGAAAAAAACTTGGTCTTGCATACTGACCTGCAAGGCATGAGGGTCAACTTCGACGCAACCCGCGCCCTCCTCGACGCCCTCCGCCAGACCTGTCCTGGCGTGCGAACAATCTTCACATCCAGCCAGGCCGTGTACGGCGGCGAGTTTGCCGAGCCGGTAGATGAATCCGTGCACCCCACGCCGCAATCTTCCTACGGCGCGGAGAAAATGATGTGCGAATACCTCATCAACGAATACACCCGTCTGGGCTTCATAAACGGCCT